CATACACTCAACGTGCGTTTCAAGCTGTTGGGTCGGGGATTCAAACCACAGTCAGCCACATGGGAGTCCAGTGAAGCAACTATTATGCCATCTGCTGGTCCCTGTTTTTGTAGTTTTAATAGGATCACAGCCACATTTATTTGCTTACCTTTTGGCTAGAGCTGACTCATTGCAAGAGAGATTACATAGCTCACAAAGCCTAGAATAATTATTACCTGGCCCCTGCCACATAATACTTTTTGCTGTCCCTGCTTCAGAGTATTGTTTTGGATTGAGTTACTGAAAACATAGGTTGCGACACAGGTAGCATCACTTCATACTTAAATCCCAATCTTATGCCTTGCAGAGCATTCCTTACTTGTTTTCTCTTAGATCTTCTTGGCTTATTTCTCGGGGACGTACATCTCCTGGCAATGTCACAATAATCTCAACACCTATAGATATGCAGACAGTAGTAGAAAGATAAAGAAAGTGATGAATTCTAGTAGTAAATGGGAGAAGTACTTCATTTCTGACTGTCTAATCTTCCCTTATTGATTAAAGAATGGACATTAACCTGGCACTGATGTTTAAGCATCTTTGTATCTTTCCTGTTCAGCACATGATAGTTCCTTGCTTTAGTTTGCTTCAGTGTTCCCCGAAGATTCATGTGTTGAGATTTGATCCCTATTGTGATGGTATTAAGAGGGTGGAGACTTAAACCAGCTATGGTGTTAAACAGGAGGGCCTTTGGGAAATGATTAGGGTTCAATAAGGTCATCAGGGTGGGACCTTCCTGATTTACTCCTGGAAACTTCATAAGAAGAGGGAGAGAAACCAGACCCAGGAACATTTCCTCTGCCTCACTGTGATGCCCTGAGCCATGTCAGGACTCCACAGAGTCCCTACCAACAAAAAGACCCTCATTAGATACAGCCCCCTTAGCCCCAAATCTTAAAAACCATGAGCTAGATAAACTATTTTTTAAAGAATTGTTTAATTTTATCTATTATTACATTTTTTTTTTTAAATTTTTGCTATAGGAACTTACCAGAGACAGACTGGGGTATGGGGCAGTTGGGGGAGGGGTGGTGAAAAAGCAAGCTTCCAGGCCCAGAACTCAAACTGCAGTCAGCCATGTGGTAGTCCAGCACCGTAACCACCCTGCCACCTGTTGGTCTCCCACCTCTATTCTTTCTGGTTGTTTGGCTTTTCATTTCTGGTGTTTGGGGTTTATTTTGTTTATTTGTTTGTTTTAAATATTTTTTGCTATAGGGCACGTGAACCTGCCTGAGAGAGATGGAAAGAGACAGTGAGAGGGAAAATGAGAGGGAAAGTGAGAAACCACCCCCTGGGGGGATGGTCATGTCGCAATCCTGTTTCTTCCATTCTGCTCCTGGGATTTTGAGCACACACTCACATGCGCCTAGCAGGACTCCCAAGGGCCAGGTCTAGGATTTGATCCATAGTCAGCCATGTGGAAGTCCAATGCCTTAACCACCACACCACCTTCTGGTCCCCATAAACTTCTCTTTTTTATAATTTACCCAGATTCAGGTATTAATTAAAATATTAGCAACACAATATACTAATACAGTCCTGAACAATGCTTGTTTAAAGAGTAAAAAACCTGTCTAATAAAATTTTTTAGATGTAAAATAAAGTTTTATGATGAACAATGTTATTCCCTGGATGAAGAAAACAAGGCTCAAGGGAAACTGATGACACCTACCTCACAAGACTACCGTGAGGGTTAAGAAGATCATGGATATAGCCTCGGAGGAATTAGCTTCTATGTATAATTTTGAACACCTCCTGTTTGAGTCCATGAAATTATTTCCAGTAAAACCCTTAAGACAGAAAGTTCCAACTTATAAAATGGATATTACTTACCATGTTAAGAAATGCTATCCATGTTGGGAATCAGCAGTTAGCGTAATGGCTATGTCACTGGACTTCCACATAGTCGACCACAGTTCGCGTCTCGGACCCGGTGGCTTAAAACTCACGCCGGGCGCGTGTGCGTGCGTGCCCAAGATCCTGAGAGGAGAATGGAGGAGAAGGGATTGCGGCGTGGCCATCCCCCCCGGGGGGTGATTT